AATGGAGAACTTTCTCCACTTTCCCATCCTGCACTAGGGGGAAGTACGCCTGGACTCCCTCTACGTAATCCTCTACTCACATTGTGCGATTGTCCGCGAGGATACTGACTACAGGGTCTGCTAACTTTTGGACTTTTAACTGCAACTTCAGCTTCTGTAGCGCCTTCCTACTAATATAATTACGAGTGGCTCCACTATCCACTAAGGCGCCTACTCTACCTCTAAAAATCTCTGTATCTATTAATATAAGCTGCCCTTTATTCTCTTTTTTCATCTTGGCCCAGACCGTCATCCTCTCCTTCAACTCTTCAGCCACGCCTGTGAGGGAGGTGTCTAGAGAGACTCTAACACAAGCAGTCTCTGGACAGCCATTTAGACACCGGCCTGCAACCTCTGCCATAGGCACATGTGGTGTGGGAGTCTCCTGCTGGCTAGCGCTGTTTTCCCCACATGGCCTTGTGGTAGGGGCAGTTGCTACCTCTACCGGCGGCTGCCTTTTGGCCCTTGAGCAGCCGTTCGGGTCTCTCTATACTTGGGACAGTATTTGATGGTATGGCCTGGGTCACCGCAGAAAATGCACTGGCCCCGGTCCAATTGTTGTTGCCATAAGCTCTGGTCCAGACCAGAAGTTTCCCAAGGCCTACCCTGTGGTAGCCCTGGGTGCCATCCTCCTATCCTATAGGGAGACCTGTTCCTAGGACGGTTTTGCGGGGGACCTTGACCCCTTCCTCCCGCTTGGCGGTTTCCTCCTCTGCCGCCAACACCCTGATCGCCCTGAAACCGGCTCCCTGAGGCCCGGCCCCCTTGGCCCTGACCTTGTCCTCCTCCTTGCGGCCTCCTTCCAGCCGCGACATCAGCGTAAGTCCTCCCCTGGCCCACACCGCTGTCCTCCTACTCTAACCCCCACTCAATCTGGTCGTAGGGGATCTCATCCACACTACCCTCATGTAAAGTTAGGACAAGACTATCCTTGGTCTTCACCTGCCCCGAGATAGTGCTGCCTTTCCACTTCTTACCTTTGTCCAAGTCCCTGTGCCAGAAAGTGGAAACTGACACGGACTTTGCCTCAAAGGCTACCACTTCCCTGCTGAGTGCATCGTATGTCATAGCAGGGTCTTGGCTCTTCGCGAAGAAGTGCCCTCTGAACGTCTCGGGCATAGCCCGGTAGAAGAGGTTGACCAATTGGGGCTCTGTGACCCCATGGTCAGGAACAACCACTAGCTCATCCATTGTGCTCTTGAGTGCTCTGGCACTCTTCAACTGACGAGAGTGGATCGTCTGTAGCCTGTCTGAGGCCTTAACACTACGAGCGACATCAACAAATCGCTCGCGCAGCAACTTCAGGAAGTCGATGAGGGGAGTGAACGACTAGTACGCAACTGCATCATCATTGCAGTTGGCAACACGAACTAGGGACCTTGCGAAGCTGGCGGCCTCATCTCTAAGTGCGTGGTTCGCAATTAGAACATGCTGATCCGGGGAGACCTGTTGCAGATGCACATAGGTCTTGACATTGGCCTCCCAATTGTCAAAGTTCTCTTCCTGTTTTCCACTATAGGAATCAGGAAATTTGACTTTGAGCGGCTCCCGGCGAGGACGTGCTTCCTCTTCCTTGGGAGCTGCCGCCTTGACGCCTTCAATGGCGCCAACACAAAACCGCTCAGTCTTGTCGAGGCGATGGCCCACCTCGGTTCCCACAGCTCCCACCAACTCACGAGCAAAGTCCCGAAATCCCAATCGTATTGAACGCACAGCTATATGTTGACTCATACTAAAGTCATACTGCTCCGCCTGAATTCGTGCTAGGCGTGCAACGTTTCGGGCTATGACTTGCATTTGCTTTGGGAGTTCAGTCTGGGCGGCTAATTGCTCTTCTATCTTTTTCACCTCTTCTAATTCTTCTGCCGCCTACGCTGCCTCGTCTACTCTCCTCTTCTTCTCCCTCATCACTGCCAGTTTCCACTCCATCCTCTTCTCATCTTCCAACGCCTGCCGCTTTATGACATCTTCTTCTGCATCCCACTTTTTCATAGCGGCTTCTTGCTCATCCTTGGGAATATACATCGCCACTTCTTCTTCTTCGCCCAGGAATAAGTTGGCGACCCACTCTGAAATCTGCTTTTCCATCTCACTATCTTTGCTGCCACTGTACTGCCCCCTCTTCCTTTGTAGTGGCGTTTCATCTTCTTCCTCTTCCTCTTCCACCTCTTTCAACTTCTCCTCTTCTTCCTTTTTTATTCTCTCCTTCTCTCTGGCCATCTCCTCCTCAATCTTTCTCAACTTGGCCGCCTGCTCCTCCTGTAAGGCCTTCTTCTTGGCCTCCTTCCTTTCTTTTTTCTCCTGCAGGATGGCGGCCATCTTTGCCTCCTCCTCCTTCGTATACGGCTTAGTGGAGGTCCCACCCCGGGTGTCTACTCTACACGTAAAGGCGTGCCAGAACCCCAGGGGAAAGAGGAGACGCCAGAGGGTCCCCCAAAGGGAGAACCCAACAAGCAACCCATACATCGGATAGTCATCCAT